GGAGAGGAGAGGAGAGGAGAGGAGAGGAGAGGAGAGGAGAGGAAATGAATTTCCCCTAAAGTAGATTTAGTAAGTGTCAAAATTCCATTAAATTTTACATAAGCTTGCCTCCCAAAAAGTTTCTGAAGCCATGCTAGATTGCACTTTTAAAACCTACTGGGTCCCATCAGAACCCCGAATCTTATTCAAAACAGGTTCATTCGCGCAAAGTAGCAACAAATTTTCATTCAAAGCCTTCTGATTTTCTCAAAATATATCCTTTATTCATCTAGTCTCATCAGCAAAGGCGATGGCAAATACAAGTTTGCCTCATTGACAATACCACCATGTAAATGCGACACAGAAAGGCCTAGGTTTCCTGGAAATTTACTTAGTTACTGGGATTTCAGGCCCTCTTTGGCAATGTGCCGAAGTGGTAAGCGCGTCGAGACAATGGGCTGTGCTACTCAGGTTCGAGTCCCACTAAGAGTTCTGATGAGACCCAGACGAAGTAGAAACTGCATCCCGCTTTGGAGAAGAATAACTTTTGGGAAGCAAAGTAATACGATATAAAGTGCAAGCGTGTAGCGTACTCATACTATTGTGCGAAAATTCAAATATCACTCCTTCATCACTCCAAATGAAATTGGGTTGACACATTTCTTTATTAAGATCTACTATTCGTTTCAAAAGCCCACTTAAAAACGAAAATATGTTATCTTAATCAATTCTCCCACTATAAAACGTAAGTTAAGAAGGGCTTGCTTGCCTTGGATGTTCCATTTGCCCTGTAACCAAATGGAACCCGTGTCTGTTTATTGGAACTGTAACCTCGCCCTGATATTTACAAGCCGGTAACGAAACCCGCTGAGGATGCTGATAAGGCCTGGGCGCGGTCTAAAAGGCAGTCCAAACTGGAGGATAATATCTTTTCAGGAGGCAGAACTATGCGAACTTCAATGGAATTGTGAAGATTACTCATCTTTTTGTGGAAAAATTAAACTATCAGTCCTTAAATCAGCTTAAGTGATCTAGTGTGACTGAGTTATTTATTAAGTACTACTGATAGTATCGAAAGGTTTTCATATATATTTTTTTCTTACCTCACCTGGACACAATACCGGGTAGATGCATAAGGATTTATCCGTTCAACATTCACAGGCCGGGAGTCCACATACACACAAATGAGGGAAATAGCGTTAAAGAATGAGTTTTTAGAGCCCATTTATGAACACCATACAGAATAGGACTCTAAAAGCACACAACACTCACGCCGCTTTAAATTTTACATATAATTTTTAGGATTGGTTGATAAGTTAGATTTAATTGTGAACCTGTTGGGTAGAAGAATAGAGAGTATACTTCGTATACACCCTTGTCTGCGCATACTCGCCCAATCTATTGTTAATTGCTAGCTTTTTGTGATCAGAGCACTTAAGGAACCGAGTCGGAATGGTTTAATCTTAAAAGGAGGGAGAGATACTCGCCGAAATTGTGAAAAATCGGAAGGAGTGAGCAAGCCAAGTATGACCTCACTAAACATCTTCTCGATAAGGGCCATAGAAGAAGGACAAACTGAGATTATATTTCCTCTTTGCCTAAACAGAGTAAATCGTAATTTACAATAACAAAATCATATGCTCCTCTTGTTTTTGTGTGTTCGCCGAATAAAAGTGGTAGGCGAAGACAAATAAATAAAATACATGCTACGAAGAGTAACTAGGTTTCGGTAAATCTCATGAGAGAACATTGTTATTAACCCGTTTTCACCCGGAACAAGAGAGGAGGTCTCGTGGACTGCGTCAACCTTAACGCCATATAAAAACCAAATGACTGCAGTACTATGGGATTCAGCCGTCCTCTTCTGGTGAGATTGACCTATGAATTCCTTCTTCATGCACTTTCATACGAAATGAAAGTCCCCCTAATTAAATACATGTCTATGAGTTTTTACAATTTGCATTAGCTATATGAATCTGGAGAAATGAGTTATCACTTGCAAGCCTTACATGAACTACAAAACAGCTCACTATAGTTATAACTATTAACAAACCATAAATCTAAGCAAGGAAGGTACCATATACACAGCCAGATATATGTGCTCAGCTCGGACAAACATCTTTGTTTTTTGCTTCTCTATAAGGAATCCAGCCTCATCCACTTTATCCTGCTGACCCATACTTCCGACTGGTGCAGCTGGCAGAACGTCCAAGCAGATTATGTTTCCCCCAGCCCCTTCTTCCTGACCGACTTGGCGAGGTGGGCTGCCTGCCTCTGATTGGCTGCAGTTCTCGAGGAAGCGGAGCTGCGTGACTCGAGCCAGAGGTCCAATGATAAGCAGAAGGACGCTGGGCACAGCGTAGACTGCCAAGAGCCAGCCGATGATGGATCCCTCCGTCTGGCCGACTGAGAGACATAAAAGAAGTATCTAAATGATTTGAGTGTTTCGAGTCTAGTTGCAAAGTATCATATAAGCATTTCCCCGAAAGTATGTGGAGGAGGCTGCTTTTAGACACTGAATCCAAATTTATCTCAGTGGCTATTCGAGTAAAGGATGTCAAAAGCATAAACAGAATAACTACCCTAAAGTAATCAGGATAAGCAAATATCGACAGATTGCCCCAGCAATAGCTATACGAAGCGTGCGGAAAAGTTATTTTTTTTGCAAAGAACTACCGCTTGCTGGGGCGCCTATAGA